CCCAGACGTCTTGCTGCTCATGGGTCTCAGACCCTTCTCCCCAGGTCTGTGGTCCCCTCCCACCTGCATGAATGCCCCTGCTGTCCCCTCCCTGGAGCAGATGATAGGGGCCTCTGGGGACTCTCCTTCCTGGGGAGGAGGTGGCACCTCCCATTTGCTTTCTCTCTGTTAGAACGTCAGGGGGGCAGGGGGGCAGGAGAAGGGGGCACTTTTTAAGAAGTGAAGTCAAGGCGTGTGTCAAAAATCAGGGCATGTGTCAGGCCACATCCATGGCAGGGGGTGACAATGGGCAGCACAGGGCTGGCCCATGGAGGAGCCCATTAGCCCCTGCAGCTGTCGCTGGGCTCTCTGGACTCCGCCCACCGCCCTGTCCCAGCTGTACTACCTGGGGTTTGTCACCAACCCCTCCTGACCCACCCACCCTGTGGCATGTGCTAGGGGAACACTAGCATCGGGGATTCTTGCTTTCTTAGGTAGGGACATTGAGCCACGAATGACGTCACCCATCTCTAAGTGAAGGAGCCAGGCTGACTCAGCAGGCCTGGCTCTGGGGTCCCTGCTCCGGACCAGTGTCCCAGCCCCTCCCCACTGTGTGCTAGTGTCCATGTCTCTCTCCCCGCGAGAAAGCAGAGGACGGGCCCCGTGTTCCCTGGAGCCCACCTGTGGGAGCCAGCGATGGTGACGAGGACACTACCTCCTCAGCACCCTGCCCAGCTCTTTGCCCACGCTGGGCCCACACAGGACCCCAGGGGCTGCACCCCTTTCAGCAGCACAGAGTTCAAGGCATGGGAAGGCCGGGGACAACTGTGGCAGGAAGTGGCAGAGCCGGCATTAGAACTCGGCTCTGTTGATCCCAGACCTGGGGCTGTCCCACCCTCCATCGCTGTCATGGGACAGATCCTCTAGCACGACTGTGAGCGTCCCCAAAACGACTCAAGGTTCAATTTTTTCGTAAGTCAAAGTCTCTTGGGATTGGAGTGTGACTCTCACCCCAGGTGTGGGTGACATCACCTGGGGCCTGTGGACCTCACTGATGTTTAGGCCTCGACCAGCTGAATCCCACTCTTTTGGACCTGACCCCCCGAGGGCAGGCCACTCCACTTAGCTGACCTCGGGCAGCCTGGCCATCTGTGGTGTCCACGGTTCAAGGAAGGTATGCTGCCATCAGGTGGCGGTGACAGGCCACAGCTCTGGGACCTATTGGTCAAGCCCTGAGAGGAAGTGTGAGTGGCGGAGAGATAAATGTACTTGTCTTCAGTTTTCTACCAAAATAAACCCCTCGATGAAACACATCCGTTTAACGACAGTCGACACGATGGTGTCAACGTGTTAAGGTCATTTCTAAAAGCAGTGAAGTCAGTGTCAGGCCGGTCGATATCTTTCTCATTAATGCTTGGCTAATCTTTAGGATGGAGACTAAGGATTCGGAGCAAAAAAAACCTCTAGTGTTTGGATTTCAGCTGTGAGACTTTGGGCCGTGGGAACAGCCTGTCTTCCTCAGGTTCTATGATTTTGCCTTAAAATTCAGCTTTGCCTTACACCAACCACATGAGCTGCTGGACCATATCGGCTCAGACTGCTTCTTCCTGACCTTGTCCAGCAGAAATAGAAATGGGAGAGCCAGTTACTCAGCCCCTTGAGAATCTCCCTGCCCACATGGAGGTGGGGCCCCCAGGGATTCCTTCTGGCCCGTGTGGAAAGTCCTGACGTAGTCAATGGGAATGGATATCTGGGAATAGGTTAGGGCAGGGATTTCGGGGTGTATGGACCCGGGGGTGTCCTGTTCTGTCATTAGCTGGGTGTCTGGTCTAGATGTCTGGAGCCTGGGCTTTTCATTGCTATAACCCAAATGCCCGGGAAAATCAACTTAGAGGAGGAGAAATTTATTTGGGTTCACAGTTTCAGGGGTTCAGTCCATGGTCGGTGGCTCCGTTGCTCCTGAGGTGAGACAGGACAGCACGGAGGGATAAAGCTGCTGAGATCGTGACAACCAGGAAGTAGGGGTGGGGACAGAGACAGAGATGGACCAGGGACAGGATATAGTCCCCGAGGGCACACCCCCAAGGACCCACTCCTATGAGGTCCCATCTCTTAAACTTTCTACCACCTCCCAATGGGACGTTCAAATTGCGAGTCCCCCAGTGGATTAACCCACCAACAGGTCAGAGCCTTGGGGCTCCAGTCCCCTCCCAAGGGCCTCACCTCTGAATACTGCTGATGGGGACCGAGCCTTCAGCACATCACGAGTCTTTGGGAGACACTTCATGTACAAGCTGTAACAGTCTCAGCCTGTCTGTCTCTACGATGGGGATTCTTGGGGTGCATTGCAGGTTGTTATGGGATTAAAACAAGAGGGAACACCGTTCCTGATAAATCCACTCAACAAGTAGAAGGTAAATTATGTAACCCGGCAAAGGACAAGAGTAAAACACAGCTAATAACAAACTTAATGTACAAGAATGAGTGTCCCCCCCCCCAGTGGGGGAAGAATAGTCTGTCTTCAGCAGGTTGATCTGGCAAGACAGAATGTCACGTAGATGAGGATCTCTTATCCGCTCCACCCAAAAGCAACTCTAAATGGGAAACAGGTATAAATGGAAGAGTTAAAATTACAAAACACTGAGGAAAAAAAGGTGAATTTTCATAATCTTGGGTTAAGCAAAACTTTCTTAGATATGCTATTCAAAGCATAAACAGCACCATAATTTCAGAAGCTCAGGAGGCTGAGGCAGGAGGATTGCAAGTTTGAGGTTGGCCTCAGCAACTCAGTGAGGCTCTTAACAACTTACTGACACCCTGTCTCAAAGTGAAAAATAATAAGGGCTGGGGATGTGGCTCAGTGACAAAGTGCCCCTGGGTTCAATCCCTGGTACCAAAATAAATAAATAAAAACAATAAAAAACCCAAAAGAAACAAAAATCCAGTTTATCTAAACTGAGCTTCATTAAAACTCAAAACTTTTGCCCTTCAAATGACATCATCAAAAAAAGTAGAACCTGCAAAAGGAATAAGATATTGGCAAATCAGATGTCTAATAAGGAATGTGTATGCAGAATATATGAAGAAATCTTACCACTCATAATAAAAAGATAACTCAATCTAAAAAAATGGCCAAAGTGTGATTAACGGGCAGGTAGCATATACAGCACAGACACGTGGCATAGAGGAATGATTCATGCCTTGGGCAGGACACAGTGGGAAGGGAGGAGATGTCATTATGCTACTTGGAATAGTATACAGTTTAAAACCTCTGAATTTTTTGTTTATAGAATTTTCCACTTACTATTTTCAGACTGCAGTTGACCACAGGTCACGGAAACCTCAGAAAGAAAAATCACAGAGTAGGGGAGAGGGGACACTATATATCCATACAATGGAATATTATTTTTTCATGAAAAGAAATGAAGTACTGAGACATGGTATAGCATGGACATCCTTGAAAACAGACTCAGTGAAAGAAGCCAGTCATCAGAGACCACAGCTTGCCTGATTTCATTTGTACAAAATGCCCAGACAGTAATAGATTAGCTGTAGCCTAGGGCTGGGAGGTGGGGAAATGAGGATTGACTGCTGATAGGTATGGGCTTTCTTTTGGGTGTGATGAAAATGATCTAAGACTGATTGTGGTGATGGCCACACAATCTTGTGTCTACAGTAAGAATACACTGAAAAACCATTGAGTTGTACATTTTATTTTATTACTTTAAACTTTTTTTTTTTTTTTTTGTATTGTGGATTGAACGCAAGGGCACTTTACCACTGAGTTACATCCTCAGCACATTCCATTTTTTATTTTGAGGCAACACCTTGCTAAGTTGCTGAGGTTGGCCTCGAACTTGCGATCCTTCTGCCTCAGCCTCCCAAGTGGCTGGAATTACCAGCATGCTTCCCCACACCCGGCTCGAATTGTACACTGTAAATGGATGAACGGCATGGCTTATGAGTCACACCTCAAACAAACCATTGAGGAAGGCAGAAGACAAAGCGCTCAGCACGTAAATCCTAGATATGATTAAGGAGCCCAGTCGGGGTAGGAGTAGGAACCGGGCTCGGGAAAGCCTGTGTCTCCCTCAGGCCCAGGAGACAAGAGCTGAGGGCCTCCAAAGCTTTCATGGGCCACGAAAATGTTTTAATTTCTTTTAAAATCAGAAGGAAAAAAAAAAAACTTTGAGGTGATTGTAAAATACAGTTTTTAATTTCACTTTTATTATGTTGGAAAGTGTCCCTGAAGGCCAAAGGACCCGAGATCCCCCAGGTGTTTCCCTGCTCTGGTCTGAATTTGGTTATTTACCAAATTTACCCCACTATAGCTTTGGAGAGAACAATAAGTATTAAAGAAAGGTTAAATTCATTTGAAATAAAAAACAACACGTCCTTTCCCCCTCTTTGGTTTCAATTCTCCCTCTCGTTCTTGGTTGTCAGCAAATACTTCTTGATATGGTTGGTTACAGTCCCAGCACCACTGTCTGCTGTGTGACCCAGGCTGGTGGCACAGCTACTCTGAGCCTCCTTACCTTCATGGCCCAGGCCACCGCGGGAGGCAGGGACCCTGGCAAACCAGAGCCTCCCGAGCCCCATCCAGGGCACCCAGGTGCCAACCTTGTGACTGCTGCTGAGTGGGGCTGGCCCTCCACGGGGGTGTCCGGAGCCTGGGTGGCCCGGCGACCTTCGGCCTATTCTGCGGGACCCGGGGGGCGGGGCGATCGGCAAGGGGAGCGGGGGGCGTCTGCGGACCTCCCTCCTGGACGCTGTCCACTTGTGCGCATGCGCGCCTGTGGCTGGCGCGGTCAGCCGGGGGGAGCCCAGCGGGGAGGCGCCCGGGTTAGGGGGGCGGCCAGGAGGGGCCCCTGGGTGGGGAGGAGGTCGGGCCCAGTGGGCTGCTGGCCACCGGGGCCGGGGGCCGTGGCAGCTGGGGTTGCGTTGGAGGTGCTGTTGGCTCCAGACGGGGCCTGAGCCCTGGGTGCTGTCACATTCTGAAAACCCTTCTTTTCTTTTCAAAGGTGAGAAATGTCGCAGCTTCATTGACCTGGCCCCGGCATCGGAGAAAGGTGAGTGCCGCCCGCCGAGGGGCCAGCTTCGGCCTCCGGAGATGGTCCCCTGCCCCTGGCCTCCCAGCGACCCGGTGACAGGCCCAGGAAGCCAGCTGTCTTGTTGTGAAGCGCTGATCACTGAAGCCGGGGAGGCAGGTGCGGGAGGACCATCTGTCCTCCTGCCCCAAGGGTACCCTGGGTCCTTGGTGCCCTCTTCCATCCGGGGCACTCTGGGACCCTGGAGGAGGCAGGATGGGTGTTAGAAGTGGAGTTCAGACAGTTCTGGGGCCTTGCCTCCTGCTGGGGCTTTGCTCCCAGAAGATGGAGACCAGAAGTCTGGCCGCTCTTGTCTCACAGGTGTGGGGAGGGCCAGTCTGAGAGGTTTCTGCTGCTCTGAGTCCCCAGGACCTGGACTCCTGCTGTGTCCCCGCATCACCCCCGTGGTCTTTGTCTTCATGGTCTAAAGGGGTGGCTGGAGCGCCAGCCATAGCATCTGCATTCCAGGCAATACAGTGGAGGAAGGGCAAAGGTTGCAGATCAACTGTAAGGTTCCCAGACGTTGCCCAGATATACCTGTGGATATCTCCGTGTCCAGAATTTAACACAGGGCTGTGCTCAGCTGCAAGGGAGGCTGGGAAATGCTGTGACCAGCTGAGTCAGGGAGTCTCTGAGTATGGAAGAAGTAACTTGATACTGGAGGGGGATCTGTCGTGGGGACAGAGAGGCTGGCCATCTCCCCACCTGTCTACCCCCCTAAAAGAGCCCGCAAGAGAAACAAGTGGCCTGGAGATGGGGGGAGGGCCGGGTCCTGGAGTCAGGCCAGGGGAAGCCAAGGCAGCAGCCCAGGCACGGGCACTGTCCCCACATGGAGAGCGCCAGGTGTCCAGTGGTCTCTCCTCTCAGGAGGTTATCAAAGGCAGACGGGGCAGCCAGTTGGCCCCGTGTCATGGAGGGTGGTGACATTCCTGCTGCACAGGTGCCGAGTGGTCCTCTTGAGACTGAGGGGTGAGTGACAGGCCCCCCACTGTCCCTCCGCCCGCAGGAAGAAGCCAGGACCCCGGAGCAGGCCTTTGGGAGAGGGAAGGCTCCGCTTCCTGTTTCCCACAGCCATTTCCTGTGGGTCACTGCATGCAGCTGTCCCTGAAGCATTTGGTGGAGCACCTGGGGCCTGGCTTCCAGCTCCAGGTCACTAGTAAGCAAAGCTGCTGGCACCGGGGACAAGAGGTGGAGGTTTATTGAGCAGTTACTATGGGCCATGCCCCAGGCACTGAGAACCCCCTGGGGGGCTGTCCTCACCTCCACCTGGGGGCAGAGGACTGAGGCTGAGCCGCCCACTAGCTGGTGTCTCCCATCTCCTAAGGTGCAGAGCCGGGTGTTGGCCCAGGTCCTGGTCCCGGAGTCCATGATCCACGCCCTCCCTGTCCCCTGGGATGCACGTCCCACCACCCCCAGGGCCGCGGGGATCCCAGCTCGGCGCTGCCCACCAGGCTGACAGCGAGCGGGGCCCGCGTGTGTGCCCTGGCCAGGTGGCTGTGGCACATGGCAGCTGCTCCCGGGGCCTGTGCCCACCTGTAGGCGCTTCCCAGTGCGTCCGCCCAGGGCCGAGTGCCCGTGTCCGTGTGCGAGTCAGCCGGGTGGCTCCTACCCCCCAGGTGGCCTTGGGCCTCTCCTCCTGGTTCTTTTACGAGGCCCCAGGGCCCCAGAGGCGTCCACCATTCTGTTTGACTGGCTTTGCTCACCCTGTGACTCTAGGGCTTGGCGGCCATGCCGAGGACCTTCCGGCTGTGTGTAGAGAAATGTTTACAAGAGGTCGAGGGGACAGCTTTGCCACCGTGTCGCAGGGTGGTCTCTATGTACTCACCGCCTCTCAAACACTTTAGCTGTCCTGGGCATGGGCAGGGTTAGGTCCACAGCAGCCGCGTGGCCTCTCGTGGTGGCCACCCATGGGAGTGTGACACAGATCCACCCACTAGCTCACCCTCTGCCCTGCACGACTGGAGTCTCCACTGTGCAGTCCAGGCTCCCGGGGGACGGGGACATGGGGTGACTTATTGCAGGTGTTTTCTCACCCAAAGGGCTGTCTTCCCAGGGAGGCTGGTCGCCGCCCCAGCTCACCTGTGACTCCTCTCCTGGTGTTTTCTGGTTGACCAGATGTGATCAAGATGGTGACCCTAACACCAGTGGACCTTCAGGGGACGCCTACCATGGGCCAGCCTGATTGATGTGGTCCACCTTCACAGATGAGGAGACCGAGACACAGGGCCGTCCCACAGCTAGGGGACAGTGGGGCTGGGATTTGAACTTGAGCAGTCTGGTTCTTCTGCTTCAAAAAGCTGGACCCAGGAGGGTCACAAGGGGATCCCCTCCAAGACCTGGGGGATTCCCCTTCGTCCTCCTCCATCCAGGACCTCTGAGCTGAGTCCGGAGCTTCCCTCTGTCTGAATCTCTGGTTTCCGTGACTGGAACAAAATACTCCAGATGAGCAACTTAAACAGAAGGAAGGTTTATCTTGACTTACAGTTTGGGAGCCTTCCGTTCATGGTGGTTCATCTGCTGCTTTGGGGCCTGCGGTGGGAGCACGTGGTAGAGTCAGCTGTCACTCGTGGTGGCAAGGAAGCCAGGGAGTCAGCAGGAGACCCGTGTCCCATAATCCCCCTCTGGGACACACCCCCAATAACCTAACTTCCTCCCGCCAGGCTCCACCTCTTAAAGGTCCACTACCTCCCAATCGCGTCAAACTGAGGACCACAACCTTCCACACGTGGACCTTCAGGGAACATTCCAGGTCCAGACAGTGGCAGCCTCCTTCCACCTGGCAACCGCACATGTGCTCTCTTGGCCCTTCTCAGGTGCTGCCTCCTCGTCCCCACCTCTGCCCGCTGGCCAAGCACTTGCCTGTCATCTGTGTCCCATGCCATGGTGTGGAGTGTTCTTCCTTTGTCTGACCACTCCAGTTTCACCTTCCATGTGGGGAACACATTTTTTGTGTGACACTGGCCTAAGCCATGACCATTTTTCATCTGCATTCCTGCCACACTCTGCCTTTGGATTCTCTTGGTAGTTGGAACAATCTTTTTAAAGCATAAAATCACATCCCAGGATTCCCTTGTTTAAAACCCTTCCACAGCTCTTCTTGAGATAAAAGTGAGTGTCCCTAGGGTGACCTAAAAGGTCCTGCATAGCCTGGCCCTATACCTGGGATCTCATCTCCTGCCACCTTCCCTCCACACTCTAGCTCAGAATTCTTGCTGTTCCTTGAGTCAGCCAAGCTAGTGGGTGCCCCAGAGCCTTTGCACATGCTGTTCCCCTGCTCCTGCCAATTCTTTCAAAATTTTGCATGTTATGAATACAATACTGCAATTGAACATACTTGTTCAATTTGAGTGTGTAATTTGAAAGTTGGTGTGTAAATTAGAGATGAAAGACTCTTATAAACCCACCCTTAGGTAATAATTATTACAAAAACCCCCATATACATACACACACGTATATGTTTATATGTAGGTATGTATATTTATATAGAAGTCATGGATTAATTTTCCTATTAGTATACGGAGACTTGCCTTCATTTTGTGTGTGTGTGTGTGTGTGTGTTTGGTGTTCTGTTGGGAATTGTGAATGCTAAGCACGTGTTCTATTGCTGAGCCACACCCCAGCCACTGTGTTCATTTTTGAAACAACCGTGTCCCATTCCATCACAAGGAGACAATTTATTTAGCCAGATCCTGCAGCTGGACATTCAGATTATGTCCCCCTTGCCCTTGAGCGTCCTGTGTCATAGCTGGATAATGGTGCCTTGCACATCCCTCTGTCCCTCATAAGCCTGGTCTCCAGCCCCAAAGGTCTCTTCCTTTCCCTGAGCCCCCAGGGCTCTGCCCACCTCGGGGCAGCACTGGCATAATCAGCGCTGCACTGAAGGTCTGCACAGGAGGCTGTGCCAGGCAGAGGGCAAGGAACTAACTCAAGATGCCCGAGGGATTCATGAAGGTGAAACGTGCCAATTCAGGTGAACAGCAATGCCCACAAGCTGTGACCTTGACTCTGAAAATGCAGCAGCAAAGCTTTTTGGACCCCTCCATCATCTTCTTCCAGGCTTCCCTGCATTTCAAAGCCTCAGTCACTTATTAAGTCAGTGACCAACTGATAGTCTTAAAGCCTGGTGTATCAGTCAGCAAGACCCGTGTTAATGCTGTGTAACAAGCCATCCCACTACAGTTATTATTACAGCAGTGATTATGGTGATGATGATTACTCATCTGTGGATTTTCTTGGGGTTCGCTGATGTAGAATAACTTGGTTCCAAGATTTAGACTAGGTTCAAATCAGCTCTGCACAGGTCTGTTTTGGGGACCAGGTAGAGGGACCTGCAGATACCTGAAGGAGCTTTTCTTGTGGTCATGCCAGAAATGCAAGATGGGGAGCCTAATTCCACAGGCACATTTGAAGTGTGTGCTTGCATTGTACCTGCGAACATCCCACCTGCAGGCCACATCCAACACCAATGGGGGGGGGGAAGTACCCTACCCACATGGAGGCCAGGGTTACAGCAGGAATGAAGAATTGCTGAGCCACATCCTGGCCTGGCCACAGGTCTCGAGGGTGGCTGGTGGCGAGCCATGCTGCAGCTGGCCTGACCCCAGATCCTAGAGAGTCCTTGAAGATGTTTGGGTTTCCCCCTTTGCTGTATTAACAGGGACCCTGGTAAAGATCAGTCCCAAGTAGGGGGACACGGGGAAGCCCCCAGCTCCCAAGTCCCAGGTTAGAGCTTCTCACTGGTGGATGGACTCACAGTGGGAATAAATGAATGAACAGGCGCACACACCCAGCCTCAGGATTCATTCACACTGTCCAGGCTGCACCAGGGACCTCCCGACGGCCGAGCCACCTGCTACTTCTCAGTCCTCATCTGCCTGGACCCGTGTGTGGCCACGGACAGCCTGGACCCAGCAGTGTGTTAATTGAGTGTTTACTATGTGCTGGGCGCACCTTCTGGAAGCTTGTGCCCCTCTTAGCCTCAG